TACATTAGTAATAAATTTTAATATTTCTGCTCTTGAAATGGTTTTGTAGTTTGGGTAGTTGTACATTATTATGTTATTATAGCAATGTTCATTTTAAATTGGATGAAATCTTTGCCCGTTTGTAATTTTTCTACTTGATGTTTCAAACCATCAATCTCCCCTTTCATTTTTTTCTGATTTTCCTTCGTTTCTCGAATATTTTCATGGATAATATCTAGTTCTTGTTTAATCATAACCATTTGATTAAAAAGTTTATTGTTAGTAGTGTTGATTAATTCTGATATTTTATTTCAAAGCACTGAGGTATAAGCGTCTGGGAATTTATCCGTTACATTAATCGAGGTCTGATCAGAAATAGTTGACTCACCTGAGTTGTCGTTTTCATAAATCTGTAATGAATTTAAATTGTAATTCTTATCACTAATGGATTCTTCATGAAGATTTTTTTCGGAAGTAAAGTTAAAGTCTATTAACGACTTGGAATTTGAAGAAGATGGCTGATTCTTCTTAGTATCCAATTTAGTACGATTCAATGGAGGTCTATCCCTCTTGACTGGAGAACATTGCATAATTATTCTTGTTATTACCAATATAAATAGTATTAATTAATAACAAAATTAGGCTTCTTGTAGTAGAAAATAATCAAAAAAACACTTAATTCTTATTCTAGTATGAGTGGCCAGGTATAAAGAAAAACACGCCAACAGCCTCAACGGATGAACACGCCCCCCATAAAATGATATATTTAAGTTATTTAGATTCTTTGCTAATCTGTATTAAGTTAATTTTTTAAAATATATTCTGAAAATTATAATAAAATCTTTTAGTTTATCGTTTATTTATAATTGATTACTAGATTTAAATTCTACTTTTTTCAAACACTGATTCTCATTTTGATTGTAAATGACATCAATTTATCACTTGACATGTTTGGACCAAAACCATAAAATTCATATTATTAATAAAAATTTAACATTAGTATTAATAAAGATTTCACTCTTGTCAGTGTGTTAATGATCAAAAATCACAATAACTGTTGCAAAATCTTAATCTTTTCTCTTATGTTTCTCAGTCCTTTGACTTAATGTTCTCACTTAATTTTAAATCATAAGTGTAACTTTACATAATGATTATTAGATTTAGATCAGTATAATATATCATATTTAAATTTTATGAGTTCTCATAAGGCAACTAGAGTAAAAAAGAGTTCAAAGTTTTGTTCATTAACTGAATTGTTCGAAACTCGGAGTTTGACTGTTTGTATTTCTGTAATAGTAATAAAATATTATATACCATTAACTTTTGTTATATTTTGTAAATAATTAAATTCATATAATACTTTTTGTTTAAAAAATTCTGAAATATTTACATTTATATATAATTTCATATAAAGGTTGTCAAGTAGGAGTTCCTACAGAATGCTTTTTTCCTAGACCTCAAGAAGGTCAGAGTCTTATTAGCTTTTTGTCATCCAAAGATTTTGGCACTTGTGCAGAATTAGATAAGGTATTGTTGTTTTTAAAAATATTACAATAATAATTATATGTATAAAATAATTTTTAAAATTGGATTTACTATTAAAAAGTTTTAACTGAAGTTTTTATTCTTTATGAATAAAATTTATAACTTTAAAGTAATTTATAACTAAAAGTAATTTCTGTTTATTGTTACTTTAGGAAAATGCTCATTTTTGTATATCAGAAGCACTTATTTCTGTAATAGAACAGATAAAATGTAATCAGTCACTTAAACAAGCAGAGGAAGAAAGCGATGAAGAAATTCAAAAGCTAAATCAGCATATACGTATCCGCAGAAGGGAAATTCAATTAGAGGTTTGTTTAATGTACAGTAATATTTTGTTGATCATAAATGTATTAAACTGTTTTGAAAATGTCATTTGCATCAGTCAAATCTTGATGTAAATAAATATTTTTCAACAGTATTATGATTTTTCTTTACCTGTTTTGTTTATTTATTAAAAAATATTCTTCTTTAATTTTACAATATATTACAACACATGGATTTTGTTATCATTTATTTTTATTTTTCTTTAAATATTAGCAAATTAAAATTTTAAATTTAAAAACCTTTTTAAACTTAATATAAAAAATACATAATTAAATAAATTTATCTTTTAAATATTTGCTATTATGATTATTGGTCTAATAAAATCATTAAAATGATGTAATTGAATTAGTGACCTTTAGTGAAAGAGAAGTTGACACATGGCATGAGAGGTCACTAATTATGACATATTACATTGAATTGAAGATGGTCTATTTTCAGATAAACCGAAACATGTAAAAAAGCATTGCACATAAGAGTAAATATTTAGAGTATGTATATGTATAGTGTGTCCCAAGTAAAATTGGCCCCACTGACTAGAAATGCTACAAATGAATTTTAGTCAAAGTATACTTATTAGAAACTTTAACATTATTTAAATGTACAGAAACTTAGATGATGAAAATGATATCCTTGTTGATCTGTGAATCTTTGTGTAATATAATCATGTTCAAACTGAAACTTGTATAAAATATTAATGTCACTACTTCAATGTTTTTGAGAAGGGTTTCCTTCAATTTGCATATAGTTCTGATATTGTAAATACACTTTCTTTTTAAATATCACCTATGAAATTTACAATACTAATGTTTTATGATCTCAGTTGGCCAATTTAAGTGGCACAGACTGTATGGATGGATGATGATCCAGACATAGTATTCTAATTGAAGATTAAAAAATACTACACTACAACTTTCTCAAATTAGCACCTAATGAATTTTTTTATTGCTTGGGAATGAAATTAAACTGTAAAAATAAATGTTACATCTGTTTTATTCTGACAACCACTTAAAAGGGGTTTTTAGACAAGCAAACTTGCAATGTCTTTCCAATTCTGACAATTACCAAAATCAAGACTTACTCGGAAGCTTGTTAACAAATTTTTATTTATATGCATTTTTGATCAGTTCCTTGCTGATCCCTGTTCAGTCTACAAATAATAAACTAGCTTGTAAAATACAATCATTGATTTAAAATACAAAATTTAAAATTAAAAAACTTACAAAAAACATATATAATCCATGACAGAAACCATACTGTTTTTCATTTTTTCATCTGTAAATCACTAGTATTTCTGACAATCATCATTTCACATCATGTAACATTTCACTTTTTATTTGTATATATTACAAATAAAAGAAGTCATTCCAGACATCATCAACTAATATTCCATTATTTAAATTACATCTCTTTTGTTTGACTGTGTCATAGTATTAACATATCATTATATAAAATCATCGTGTAATTTTAATTTTTAATAATTAAACTTGTTAAAACAAGTTTCCATATGAAAATATCTCTCTACCTCTTTGTGCTTTATTTTCTTTTATTTTTTACTTTAACTTATACTGCTATATTTGAAACATTATATTATACAAAAGTTTCTGAAAGTTTTTTTATAATTTTACTGTTAATTATTTGGCATGGGGATAATTTATTAATTAATATTAGTTTATCAATTGCTCAGACTTCTTGAATANTTAATATGCAAAGTCCTCCACTTGGGCAGCATGGACCTATTAGTTTTTTTGTCAAAACTGACTCTATTGTAAATTTTTAAAAGAAGGTAGAATTGTAGACTATTTCGGAACATATCCAGGTTTCAGTGATTGCAATAATATCCGGATCATATTTAGAAATAAAGGCATCTATTTGAAGTTTTTTATATTTAAGTCATTGACTATTCCAGTTTATAATTGAGAGGCATTGATTATTAGGGTGCAAGATTAAATATAAGTTTATAATATGCAGAAAAATTATACTTTTAGTTTAAAATTAGTTTTTTTTATGCAATCAGGTTGTGAAGAAAAAGTCAGAACCAAAACAGCTTAATTTAAATGATGTGAAAATAAATGACACCTGTGAAAAGTTAAGTAACTTAAATGTGTCCAATTCCTGTTACTATACTAGATTATTGCATAATGGGAGGAAAAAGAAAAAATTAATAGAACATTCCAAAACAATGAAAGTTGGATTCTGTGATTTACCTGATTTTCAATACATTTCTACCCAAGAACAAAACTGTGATTTGCAAAATAAAATTCTGGAACCTTGCAGCTGTGATAAAAATTCATCCTGTACAGAAACAAATGGAAGTGAAACTCAGAATACGGAAGTATTCAACAAAGAATTTAATTATAGTGAAAGTGATTGTGATAATGCTCATGTTAAACAGAACTTATATGCTACAATTTCTCCCTCTAGTTCATTAGATTTGCACAATAAATTATTATGTTCTGGAAAATTACTTGAAGATTGCAAATTTTATCATAATTATAATTGTTTAGTTAGAAGCAGAAGTTGTCCTGAATTACATGATTATTACTTGCCAGCTAAAGTTAATGTGAAACATACACAAAATTTTAAATCAAACAATTTACAACAAAAATGCAGCTCTCTTCCAGTGTTATATAAATCTGTTTCAGATGGAAATGAATATTTTATAGAAAATAAAAACATTTTCAGTAGGAATCTGCAGATACATAAAAATGAAAATGAAACAAGTTTACAGCAAGAATTATCACAAAATAAAGAAATCAAAGAATGTAAGTTATCACCGGATATTTCAAAATCTAGTTTACCAAGTACAAAAACACCAAAATGGAAAGCTCAACATACAAGATCTAAGTCAGATATCCCAGGTTTATCTCAGCATTCTCAAAAGAAGGAAAGTATAGTTGAAACAAGTTCAAATTCCTTGTCATTATCATCATCTCTTCCTAACAAATTAGAAGATAAAAACAGAAGACAAAGTTTATTAGAAGAAGGTAATCATTGTGTTTTTGATATTTTATAATTACAATAAATTTCCACTAACTTGGACTAATAGGTGGTGAAGGTTGTCCAAGTTAGTGTGTGTTTTCCCTGAAGATACAGATATATAGTAAGTAATTTATTACAATCCAGCTCTATATAGAAGCTTTACTAGTCATTAGTAAGTTACACTACTAAATTTGTTATATACAGAAAATGAGCTCAAAAAATTTCATGAAAGTATACAGCAATCTACAGTCTTTAGAACTTACTACAATAATACAAAGCATGGTATTGCAAACTTTTGAATATTGAAAACACTCATTAATTATAATTTCATATTAAGATTGAAGACAAAGTTATCAAAACAGTTGTTATTAATATTCATTTCCTGTTAGTGATTGATCACCTTTAAAAAGATGGATGTTTTGATAAACTTTGCATTCGGTCTTAATTAATTAATATGATATTACCATCTGGATGAATTTGACAAAATTATAATTTCATTGTAATTACTTATGAATTGTAATTTTTCTATTGTCAAGAAATTTTAATTTGCAATTTTTTTAAAAATTTTGTCTGTTATGCAAATTTCAAAATGGAATGGTCTTAGTTAGCAAGGATTTACTGTATTCATTTTATCTGCTGTTTTATAAAATTTTACTATTTGTAAATTATTTTATGTAATAATTACTATTTCAAATTAAATATACAGCAGAAACTTGATTATCCAAAACAGTTTTAAAAAAAGAAACCAGAACATAACATTGTATACAGTTATATATGTTATAGATATTAAAGTAACAATACAATAAATTTCAAAGTAAATAAAGATAAAATGATGTATAGAAATATATTTATTGTTCATGCATATTATCAATCATTTATCAATATGTATTTATGATAAATCAATAGTATAAGTTTGATATTTTGTAAATATCAATTAAATATTACTTATCATTCATAAATATAAAATGATATATTTATTTTTTATATTAATTAAACAAAGAAAATCTTTCATTTAATTCAAGATATTTTTTTTAATAATTAAAAATATTATTATTATATTTTATTTCCAAGGGAGATTTTTCCCTATTAGGGGGAATACAAATTTCACAATAAATATTATTTCGGTCTACATGATTAATATACATTTTACAAATAAGTGTATTAATTATAACATAACATGGTTTCGCAAGACCACTTAAATAACAATAACGTTATTTGATGAATTTAGTCAATACAAACATAAAGTAACTTAATGATACATTATCAGTAATTTAAAACAACAATGTAAATCAAATAATTAAATACTACAAAGAAATTTTTTTCAGTGTATTTGACAAAAAATTATAAATTCTATAAGCATTATTTTCTGTTGAATTTTTAAAGTTATTTTTGAAGTCTAGAGATGAGCTACCAGTACATATATTTCGATTAATTATTAACCAAGTCTGTTTAAATGCTCATCCCTCGAGAGGCAGTTGATTTGCATTAAAAAATTATTACCTTTATATTTAGAGTCCATATTATCTGCAATTCTTGCATTGAAATTGCCCAAAATTATGGAATAAGGAATCATATTTTGCCAGATCTCCATTTGTTTAGTTATTTCATTCAAAGTTATTATGTCATCAGGTGAAATATAGGTAAGCATTAAAGTTATTAAATTATTTGTAATATTAGCAAGAGCAGATTTAATGATTCAGACAAGGAGCAGAATGAAATTATTAGATTTTTTTCTTTGCAAAATTTTACAAAAAAAAAAAGACCTTTTTTTATTAGTATGCAAAGGCCTCCACTTGGGCAGCCTGGACCTATTAGTTTTTTTGTCAAAACTGACTCTATTGTAAATTTTTAAAAGAAGGTAGAATTGTAGACTATTTCGGAACATATCCAGGTTTCAGTGATTGCAATAATATCCGGATCATATTTAGAAATAAAGGCATCTATTTGAAGTATTTTATATTTAAGTCCTTGACTATTCCAGTTTATAATTGAGAGGCATTGATTATTAGGGTAGAGTTTGCAGGATTGAGTTTTATCTTGCTTATTAATATGTCATTTAGTTAAATTTGCTATTCTTGTTGATGGAAGAAAAGTATCTATATGCACCAGTTTTCCCGTGTTTAAATTATAAGTTAGCTTTTCGCGATCAATTATTAAGATGCCATTTCGTAGTTTTATCTGAGGGTTTTGTTTACGTAATTCATAAAAATTTGGCAGTAAATGTTTCCTTCTATTTCTCGAGTTGTTAGTTAAATCCTGAGAAATCTGTTATTTTGCCATCCCTCTAGTAGACTTTAGTTGTATTTTTTCGTATGAAGGTAGAAAAAATAAGATCTCTAGTTTGATTATTATTAAATGTTATTCTTGTTGTTAAATTTGGCGTTTTCGATAGTTGAACTACCTCTAGTTATCTCTAGTTATCTAAGACTAGAGATAGAACTATCTCTAGTCTTGAGTTTTATTATTTATATTTAATACATTAGTAATAAATTTTAATATTTCTGCTCTTGAAATGGTTTTGTAGTTTGGGTAGTTGTACATTATTATGTTATTATAGCGATGTTCGTTTATTAGCATGTCCATTTTAAATTGGATGAAATCTTTGTCCGTTTGTAATTTCTCTACTTGATGTTTCAAACCATCAATCTCCCCTTTCATTTTTTTCTGATTTTCCTTCGTTTCTCGAATATTTTCATGGATAATATCTAGTTCTTGTTTAATCATAACCATTTGATTAAAAAGTTTATTGTTAGTAGTGTTGATTAATTCTGATATTTTATTTCAAAGCACTGAGGTATAAGCGTCTGGGAATTTATCCGTTACATTAATCGAGGTCTGATCAGAAATAGTTGACTCACCTGAGTTGTCGTTTTCATAAATCTGTAATGAATTTAAATTGTAATTCTTATCACTAATGGATTCTTCATGAAGATTTTTTTCGGAAGTAAAGTTAAAGTCTATTAACGACTTGGAATTTGAAGAAGATGGCTGATTCTTCTTAGTATCCAATTTAGTACGATTCAATGGAGGTCTATCCCTCTTGACTGGAGAACATTGCATAATTATTCTTGTTATTACCAATATAAATAGTATTAATTAATAACAAAATTAGGCTTCTTGTAGTAGAAAATAATCAAAAAAACACTTAATTCTTATTCTAGTATGAGTGGCCAGGTATAAAGAAAAACACGCCAACAGCCTCAACGGATGAACACGCCCCCCATAAAATGATATATTTAAGTTATTTAGATTCTTTGCTAATCTGTATTAAGTTAATTTTTTAAAATATATTCTGAAAATTATAATAAAATCTTTTAGTTTATCGTTTATTTATAATTGATTACTAGATTTAAATTCTACTTTTTTCAAACACTGATTCTCATTTTGATTGTAAATGACATCAATTTATCACTTGACATGTTTGGACCAAAACCATAAAATTCATATTATTAATAAAAATTTAACATTAGTATTAATAAAGATTTCACTCTTGTCAGTGTGTTAATGATCAAAAATCACAATAACTGTTGCAAAATCTTAATCTTTTCTCTTATGTTTCTCAGTCCTTTGACTTAATGTTCTCACTTAATTTTAAATCATAAGTGTAACTTTACATAATGATTATTAGATTTAGATCAGTATAATATATCATATTTAAATTTTATGAGTTCTCATAAGGCAACTAGAGTAAAAAAGAGTTCAAAGTTTTGTTCATTAACTGAATTGTTCGAAACTCGGAGTTTGACTGTTTGTATTTCTGTAATAGTAATAAAATATTATATACCATTAACTTTTGTTATATTTTGTAAATAATTAAATTCATATAATACTTTTTGTTTAAAAAATTCTGAAATATTTACATTTATATATAATTTCATATAAAGGTTGTCAAGTAGGAGTTCCTACAGAATGCTTTTTTCCTAGACCTCAAGAAGGTCAGAGTCTTATTAGCTTTTTGTCATCCAAAGATTTTGGCACTTGTGCAGAATTAGATAAGGTATTGTTGTTTTTAAAAATATTACAATAATAATTATATGTATAAAATAATTTTTAAAATTGGATTTACTATTAAAAAGTTTTAACTGAAGTTTTTATTCTTTATGAATAAAATTTATAACTTTAAAGTAATTTATAACTAAAAGTAATTTCTGTTTATTGTTACTTTAGGAAAATGCTCATTTTTGTATATCAGAAGCACTTATTTCTGTAATAGAACAGATAAAATGTAATCAGTCACTTAAACAAGCAGAGGAAGAAAGCGATGAAGAAATTCAAAAGCTAAATCAGCATATACGTATCCGCAGAAGGGAAATTCAATTAGAGGTTTGTTTAATGTACAGTAATATTTTGTTGATCATAAATGTATTAAACTGTTTTGAAAATGTCATTTGCATCAGTCAAATCTTGATGTAAATAAATATTTTTCAACAGTATTATGATTTTTCTTTACCTGTTTTGTTTATTTATTAAAAAATATTCTTCTTTAATTTTACAATATATTACAACACATGGATTTTGTTATCATTTATTTTTATTTTTCTTTAAATATTAGCAAATTAAAATTTTAAATTTAAAAACCTTTTTAAACTTAATATAAAAAATACATAATTAAATAAATTAATCTTTTAAATATTTGCTATTATGATTATTGGTCTAATAAAATCATTAAAATGATGTAATTGAATTAGTGACCTTTAGTGAAAGAGAAGTTGACACATGGCATGAGAGGTCACTAATTATGACATATTACATTGAATTGAAGATGGTCTATTTTCAGATAAACCGAAACATGTAAAAAAGCATTGCACATAAGAGTAAATATTTAGAGTATGTATATGTATAGTGTGTCCCAAGTAAAATTGGCCCCACTGACTAGAAATGCTACAAATGAATTTTAGTCAAAGTATACTTATTAGAAACTTTAACATTATTTAAATGTACAGAAACTTAGATGATGAAAATGATATCCTTGTTGATCTGTGAATCTTTGTGTAATATAATCATGTTCAAACTGAAACTTGTATAAAATATTAACGTCACTACTTCAATGTTTTTGAGAAGGGTTTCCTTCAATTTGCATATAGTTCTGATATTGTAAATACACTTTCTTTTTAAATATCACCTATGAAATTTACAATACTAATGTTTTATGATCTCAGTTGGCCAATTTAAGTGGCACAGACTGTATGGATGGATGATGATCCAGACATAGTATTCTAATTGAAGATTAAAAAATACTACACTACAACTTTCTCAAATTAGCACCTAATGAATTTTTTTATTGCTTGGGAATGAAATTAAACTGTAAAAATAAATGTTACATCTGTTTTATTCTGACAACCACTTAAAAGGGGTTTTTAGACAAGCAAACTTGCAATGTCTTTCCAATTCTGACAATTACCAAAATCAAGACTTACTCGGAAGCTTGTTAACAAATTTTTATTTATATGCATTTTTGATCAGTTCCTTGCTGATCCCTGTTCAGTCTACAAATAATAAACTAGCTTGTAAAATACAATCATTGATTTAAAATACAAAATTTAAAATTAAAAAACTTACAAAAAACATATATAATCCATGACAGAAACCATACTGTTTTTCATTTTTTCATCTGTAAATCACTAGTATTTCTGACAATCATCATTTCACATCATGTAACATTTCACTTTTTATTTGTATATATTACAAATAAAAGAAGTCATTCCAGACATCATCAACTAATATTCCATTATTTAAATTACATCTCTTTTGTTTGACTGTGTCATAGTATTAACATATCATTATATAAAATCATCGTGTAATTTTAATTTTTAATAATTAAACTTGTTAAAACAAGTTTCCATATGAAAATATCTCTCTACCTCTTTGTGCTTTATTTTCTTTTATTTTTTACTTTAACTTATACTGCTATATTTGAAACATTATATTATACAAAAGTTTCTGAAAGTTTTTTTATAATTTTACTGTTAATTATTTGGCATGGGGATAATTTATTAATTAATATTAGTTTATCAATTGCTCAGACATCTTGAATAAAAATAAGAATTTCACTGCAACTTGTCAAAAATATTTCTCTGATTAACATCTTAATTATTTTGCAATATATCTTTTAAATTTAGAATTACATGATATAAATAGAAAATTAATAGTTAATATTTATTTGAAGTGAAAAATCATACTATTCATCATATTATGATAATCAGTTAATAAATTATATTGAACTGTATATTTTATTTTCAAAATATTTTAAATTAAAAGTAATTTAATAAATTGTTTTATAAAATTATTGAAATTTATCTGATTGCAGAAATTAAGAGTGAAAAATTTACCTCTACTTAGTGATGGAAAAACAGATAGTAAGTTAGTGTTTTATATATAATAATCAATTAATTTAATTAATTATTAATAATTTTACTTCAGCTTCTACAACTAGTGCTTCACCCCCTAGTTCTTCACCCTGCACAGCTTCATATGAAGGTATTTTTTAGAAATTAATGATTTGAAAAAGATATGTGAAAATTAAGATATTTGAAAAATTATAATATTCATTGATTTATATGAAAATAAGTGAATTGGATAAAAATTGTGCTGTGTTTCAGAGAGCAGTGGTACTGAAGATGACATTAATGAATTGGAATTAACAGGTATTTGAAAATATTACTGAATTTTAATTTTTTCAAGTGTTTAAATATAGATTTAGTGTATTGTGTTAGTTATTTAAAAAATAATAATAATTTTTATGAAATTATTTTTTTTGAAACCATGCCTTTTAGATTGTTTTTTAAAGACATTGAATTGTTGTTATTAGACACTAAAAATGATGATAATGTCAAATTTGTTTTTGTTGTATGGATTAGGAGTTATCCATGCAAAAAGCATTTTGATTTTACCCATTTTATCTAAAATAGTAATAATAATACTTTTTTATATAAAGATTAAGAATTAAGTATAATAATTTTTTTAATAAATCTTTCTTCGTATTGGTACCTAAGATTCAAAATGAACAAATGTTTATTTTTGGCATTGAAATTTTTAAAAATATTTTTAGATCCAAATTTATTGCTAGTTGGTTTCAAAATCATAAGTTCTTATCTGTATGTTATATATTTTTTTTATTGCTTAATTTTTATGATAGTTAAGTGCTTAAATATAATTTAGATGATCATTCTTCTATTAACGACGTAATAATCATAATATATATTTTTACTTTTGATTTATTTTGAAAAAGAAATATTACTCATCTTTACCACAACACCGGAGAATAGTAATATAATTACCTCTTTCTAACCTGTTACCGGTGCGTCTACTAACTCTTAACGATCCAAAACGAACCAAAACTAACGTTTTTGAACCCTTATAACGGTTCTTCTTCAGGTTTATAAAGAAATATTACAGTAATACCCTGAACTTATGTGATAGGTGGGACCAAGCAATAACCGCATAAGTCAGGATATAATTTCGCATATAAATACATACAAATAACTTTTTAATTGGGGCCAGAGACTAAAGAAAACAATAATTTAGAAAAAATGTTTAATAAAATCTTAGATAATACATATGTATAACAAATTATATTATTATACAATTTTTCACATTTTCTTGATTATCACACCATAATTTTAACATTGTTTCCATCTCAGGAATAATACTGTGACGTTTACGAATGATGCTTGAATTTAAAGATTGAGTATTTTTTACAGCTTCGGGAATTTTTTCTTTACCTTTTATAATTGTTCTGACTGTCGATTCCAGTAAATCAAACTCCTTTGCCAATTCACAAATTTTCATTTTTGTATTGAAGTCTTTAATAATGTTAACTTTACATTCCAAAGATAAAGTTTTTCTTTTTTCGTTTGATGCAGAAGAATTAGTTCTTCGTTTAGATGACATAGTAGAGTCTCTCAAGTCTCCATAGATATAACAAACACAGAAATAAATAACACAAAATAAATTGTAGCTATATGTCGATTCCGCGCGACACGTCTGAACATGTAAGCCGAATAATAGTGTGGGGGAGTGAGTAATCAAGAGTTGCGTGGCACTCAAACAAAAGACAAATCGATGAGATTTGAAAATCGCATAACTCCAGGTTCACGTAAGTTGAGGTATTACTGTACTCTTAAAACATTTATCACAAGTTGCAATATCAGTTTTATTAGTTATGTGAACATAAAACCATTTGTGTAATTTTTACCTCTATGATAATTGAATCTTTTGAATTTACATCACTATAATACATGTATTTTTAAACTTTAGTACAGTCAACCCCCCTATAATTACGATTCCTATAAAACTACGAAAAAATTGTGACCGGTATCCGTAAAAAACAGTAAAAAACCCCCTATAATTACCTCAAATGTCATCGGGCAGCCAAACTACTTTCCTGCCATCCGTAGCGCCAACTACAGAGAGATTTCTATCGTCTGGACAGTATTATATAAATTATATATAAATTAGGTACTGTACATATAATTATATATTAATTATATATAAATTAGGTACTGTATATATAATTATATATTAACTTATTGTAACTTTGTTATAATTAAATATATAATTTCCGCCGTCTAGCGTGGCGCCACGCTACGGAGATTTTTACGCTAACTATCGTCTGTCAGTATGTAAATTAGGTACCGTAAGTCTAATACAGTACTGTAATTTTATACATTTCTTGTGAAAGAAACATTTCTTATTCAACGGCGATTAAAATTATTTATATTAATGATGTCTCCGAAGTTC